ATCTCAGCGTTTGGAAGTGTTGTACGATGTATCAATCGGAAACATGTAATTCTGATGGAACCAGAATGCTTACGGATCTTTAGACAAAAGAAGTCCACATTGCAACGCAGAAATATTGTGTAGAATAATACGCGTGCTTATATTACTACACGAACACATAATAAAATTGCCCTAAGTTTCGTTTCTTCACTTAGCTTCTGCGTTGTTGTACGAGTTTAAATTAATCTGATATTTGAAACATTTCTTGCTTCGTTCTCCCAGCCCTTTCCTCGCCTGTACGTGATTTTATATTGCTTTTTTTTTTTAATCCGATGACTTAATGTTTCGAAGTACTACAGAGTAAGTCGTAACGGTTGAAATCGCTTTCTCGTTAAACCAGAGTGTGATACAGTTAAAAAGTGTATACGCGATTTCATTGTATTTTCAGCGACTCTCGTATTGCTGCAAAGCAGATGGCAAATTGTCAGTATATTATTATGAATTTCTGTTTTCGGATATAATCCTGTCATTTAGCAGAGTTGCCCGAAAAACGCCTTACAAATCTAAATAGTCTACATCTGGATTTGACGCATACATGACGGGCACTAATTTTAGTTCATAAGACTCTAGTACGAGTTACACTACGCCTCAATAAAGAAGATTTAAGATGTCTTTCTTTAAATATTCCTTGTCTTGATGGGGGGAGGCAATCCATTGACCTTTCTGACACTACAAACCAAGGGTGTTAGGTCTACATGTCTAGGCAGCTTGTTAACTGCATCATTCACTTTATAAATGAATCTGATATTTAAGATTTTCTCAGGTTTCTTGGTCACGTATAAAATGTTTAAAACAACTACGCTGCTGTTTCCTAAGACCGTTTATTTTTATATATTTTTTGGAATACCATTTTCGAGAGGCAGGGGTGCTTCTTAAAAACACAGGCTTACTTGTCCTTATTGAACAAATGGGCTGATACACATTTCTCAGTATTAATGCCAGCGTTGTAGGACTTTAGTGCGTAATACTGAAAGGATAATAAAAACCTTTCTATCTTCCCAGCTTAGTTCCTGTTATCTTGAGTTGCTTTTCTCGGTCTGGTTGGTAGGAGACGATATATTAATGCATAAAGCAATCTATATCCACCGCTATGCAACCATATGTTGTTTAATGCATAAACCGATTTATCCGGTGTACATATGAGTCTTTATCAGACGGCGTCATGATAGTGAATAATATAGATGTAACATACTTTCGTTTTATGTAGCTTGTGTTTGATGAATAATCCATTTCGTGTAGTACCAGTACTAAAGATAAGCAATTGTTTTTAAGTTGCGAGTCCCGTGTGCCTGATGTAATGTAGGAAATATGTCGCTAAAGTAAAGATAACGCAGTGGAAAGAAAAGTGTATTTGGTCGTGGCTTATGGAAGATTTTTCAGAATGTGTTGATGACACAGTAAGGGGGATTGAATGATAAACTCTGCAATAGACCCTGCTTTATGCTTTCGGTAACATGCAAGGAAAGAGATTTGTATGTGCGCGGTGTGTGCGAGAATATTATATAGACTGATGTTTTCGAGAGAAAAAAGCACGAAGAATTGCGTTTTCTGGTCGAGATATCAGCTTACATATCGATGTTTAAATAAGCTCAGTCTCTAAGCCAAATAGACTTAACACGTTTCGGTCCCTGCTACACCCGGCACTGTTCGTCAGCATTTGATGGTTCATAAAAAAGTTTAGAACTTGCTGTGAGGAACATTATCAACCAACGTCTATAGCTGAACGAATTCTGTAACGGTTCTCCGACAACTTTGATGTTACCGCTCAGCGTAACTGAATTGGTCTTCATTATGTCTGTTCTCCTGAACAGCCACGTCTTTATTCCTTCAGAAGAGAATACAATTACCAGCCTTTTAACTCCATCCATAGCTCAGGCGGCTAGACCAGAGGTGGGAAATTATTTTTACTTGAGGCAGAAATGAACACTAGCCGGAGGACTTCGCAAGAAAAATTCCTTACTTCAAAAACTGTTTAAAATAGATTATAATTGGTGCCGATTGATGGAATATAAAAATACTGCATTACGAAAAGTTAGTATGGGCGATGTTGATGGAAGCAGCAAGGATCTCTGAAACTTTGGTGAACGTCTACCGGACTACACGGAGCTACAACCCAGAAGACAACCATCTTCGTACTTAACACCTTCAAAACCTGAAATCATATTTAATACCGGCAGGTTATCCCAAAATCTGATAGGCCCTCTCTCAAATTGACTGCCTGGTATCCAGGTACAGTGATAATAAATAAAGCCTCCAGTTTTAAATACCCAAAATATTATTGTGCTTCAATGAATGTAATAATTTGTTTCGGTTTACTTGCTTCATTCTATGATGAGCCTCCAAATATACCGAAGGATGTATAAGAAAGCAAACATCAATAAAATAACTTGTTATTAATAATAATCCAACTTTGCATTGCTGACAGACGTAATCCACTTATGTATTTCTCTTAGCTCAATTATATTATTATTTATTTTCTCTCCTTTGTTTTGCAAATTGCGTAATATATTTTATATCTCATCTTATAATATTTTCTTTTGTCTTGTTTTAGACACCGCCACTATGAAGGTGACAACGAATGGGCTTGCACCAACTGGTTTGAGTACATGTTAGTGGTGGTATTGGCTAGTCTTCTTCTCCTGGGTTCTCTCACCATCACGTTGTTCTGGGTTCTGTATTACCGTGGAGGATTCACATGGACCGAAGATCCCAAACACCAGTTCAACCTCCACCCTGTGCTCATGGTCGCTGGCTTCATAACTTTCAGTGGCTTCTGTAAGTAACATTCGACAGCAGTCGTGAAATTAGACTAATTTTTTTGTGAGAGTGTCTGATTTATGTAACAAGCAATATTTTCCCGTGGTTTTCTCCAAATTTATGCTGTCCTCAGACCTTAAAAAGGAAGACAGCTCTAACGGTAATGTCGTCGTTGCATTAAGACCAGCGGTGAGAGTTGCACTGGGTACTAGAACACAGTGACAGATTCCTGACTAGCCAGGGGAGAAAGTGCATGGGAAGGGGAAGAAGTGGTGGTCTATATATGCACTGTAGCATGAATTTTAAATAGGAAGAATGACTGATGTAAGCATCAGCATCAAGGTTCAGTAGCCTTACAGAAAATGTTACGAGAGTTCACTTCGGCCACTTAATGTTCGGATAGCGTCACGACTGATTTATATTTCATGGTTATCCAGCTGGCAAACTAAATAAATCTAATTATTCCTTACCAGATATTTTATTTATTTGTTTAGTGTTCTGTCTGGCGACAGGTCCATATGAACAAGATTCTTCCATCCTTTTCTCGGACTGGGACCTGTTCATATACGTTCTTGGCAGATGATCCAGAAGTGGTTTGCCATTGCCTTCTTCTGTGTAATTGTTGGGATGCCACGGAGAAACCGGGGAAGCCCCGGAGGAAAACTGCGTGTTATATAAGTATTTTACTTTTTACTTTCAGCGATTCTGTTGTACCGCGTGTGTCGTTGCTGTCGCCGGATCTACGTGAAGCTGTTCCATACGATATTCCACGCGTTGGCCATCCCATGTATTGTCGTGGGCTTCATCGCGGTCCTCGACTCACATAATCTTAATCCTGCGGGGGCCATACCGAATTTCTACTCGCTCCACAGTTGGATGGGTCTTGTCACAATGGGGCTATTTGCGCTTCAGGTATTCAGAGTGGTAAATACTGGTAACAGACATCCCAATGTGTGAGAACGTAGTGATAAAAGTAGATGGAACCTGCTTCTTCTGTGTCTCTGCCATTTGGTTATCTAACCGTGAGAAAACTACTTGGCATGTGAGTAACTGTTACAGGCTATCGTGGTGGAAATTTTAGCCACGCCCTGGCGAAAAAAAATTATCTGAGTTCATAGTTAAATGTGTTGCAGTTGCTGTCAATTGCCTAGAATTGTGACATCACCCAAATGCCAAGTTGTTTGGTGATTTCAGTAGTTTGGCTGTGGGTCGTAGAGAGTGGCATTATGGCTTCTGGTTTTAGTTACAATATAATTCTTTTTTACTAGAATACACTTTATCTTTCTACAACATTCTCGCGAGACCTGTCCTCTCATATGGAAGCGAAGCTTGGACTTTAAAAAAACATGATATTAGCAGAATAACGGCTTGCGAAATGAGATTCATGAGAAGAACTGCGGGTTATACCAAACTTGACCACATGAGAAATGAGGACATTATGACTGAACTTCAGATGGAACCTGTAATGAACTACATTTGGCAATATCAACAAAATTTGGATTCCCAAAGGCAATTTTGAAATACTCGGCCGACCTCAGAAGAGACGGACGAAAAATACAAGACCGTAACAGGCCTCGTGGCCTAATACGAGAAAGGATGATGATGATGATGATAATAATTCTTCATTAGTTTAGAGATGGAGAATAAGCGATACATGAATCTGTGTTGCTTATTCAATCTGAAAGTGAAGTGGTTTTAGTATTTAGATTTCAAAACTTGCTGGACTTTCCTACATAATTCTTTAATTTGAAAAACTCATAGTAACTAAGATGCCAATTTTTAATTTCTTTATGTCTTATATGGGTTAAATACAGGAGTAAAGAGAAACATTACAGGAAATTTAACTGATTTCTTTCAGTTTAATTTAGTTTTTAAAGCACAAAACATAGCAGTTGAGTTTTATGTTTTTCGCAGTATTTTTTTCAATAATATAGACAGGACAGCTTAAATTTACAGTCTTGTACATGTGAAGGTACAAATTCATTTACCAAGGAGGAAGATTAATTTCTTATGCAACAGGTCAGTTTATTTACTTGTTTTTCTTCAGATGGTACATAATATATTTAATTCAGAATGTAAAGGAAATTTGGTGTGTTGTGGTGGTAGTAGTGGTCGTGGTAGTAGTAGCAGTAGCAGTAAAGTAATATTTGTGCAGGCTTTGGGACAGTGAATTAATTTTTAGTTGGTGAGTGTGGCTGGCATGGATCGATTTAATTTTAAAAGCCTGGTAATGGACGTGATGTATTGAATCAGTGTGATTACAAAAAAATATTTTTTTAAATTTAATACTGAAAATTGTAACACACAAAATGAGATGTGAATATGTAGCATGCTTGATGGAAATGATAAGTGCATACAAAAGTTTAAATGGAAAATCTGATGAGAAGAGACCACCCAGAAAACCTAGGCATACATGAGAGAATAATATTAAAATGTATCATAGGCAAATATGTTCTGGGGGTGTGGATTGGATTGTTCTAGCTCTCTATAGGAACCAATGGAGGGCTCTTGTGAACGCAGTAAGTAACTTTCATGTTGGTAATTTCTTGATCATTTCAGTGACTATTAGCTTCTTGAAAAGAACTTTGCTGTAAGTAGTAATTTATATAGCAGGGGGTACACACTAATCCTTTGGGGCACAGTAGACTTGCCAGAGGTAATGCTTCATGACTGTAAATTTATTTAATATTAACCATACATGAATGTGTAATGAACCCGACAACACATATTTTGGTCCGTTGCTGTAGTTGTATTTTGGCTAATGGTAGGCATTGGCATGTACAGATACATCTAGTAATTCTGGTTGTTGATTACTGGAAAATATGGGAATTTAACAAAATGGCAGAGAGACAAACCATAGTCTGGGATGTTTGTTGCTCCATTTTTATATCTTGTGTATGTTGACTCTACTTGCATGTTGCTGACATTTTTGTCCACGAAAATTATTCCGAACACATTACATTTTCTTATATATTCCATAGATGTCATTGATGTGTACGGTGGAGGCATGAGCTGGTTTAGGCTAGTCACCACAATAGGTCAGGAAGAAGTGACTAACATGTCTTAAAAGAGACTCTCTGCTCTCTGGTTTATATTTTTGTCGTATAATTTTATACATCTGAATTTAGGTATAGTTTTCAAAGCACTACATCTTATTAATTTGTTTTCATCTGCAGTATATCTTCTGACTGTTTTAAGGATGAGGATTGGATAATATAATTTTTGTTCTTTGTATGTTTGGGAAGAGTATTTTTGTGTAAAACTACAGTGTCTGTATGTGCACACATGAAACTCCCATTAGCACAGCGGTGAGTATGAATATTTCCGTCTTCTGGGTTGTTGCGCTGTGTAGTCTGGTCGATGTTAACCAACGTTTCAGAGGTCATACTGCCTTCTTCATCAGGGCGATGAGTTCATTCAGTGAGGCAGTATGGCCTCTGAAACATTGGTTAACATCTACCAGACTACACAGCGCAACAACCCAGAAGACAGAAATCTTCATACTCATCGCCCTGATGACGGAGGCAGTATGACCTCTGAAACGTTGGTGGACATCGACCAGACTGCACAGCGCAACAACCCAGAAGACAGAAATCTTCAGTCTTGTTTTTTGTTTGTATCTTTGGCTGTTTGTGCTACTTATTTTTATATTTTACTTATCACTCTAAGATTTTATAGAAAATATTAGAATATTCACATTCAAGGACTTAAATTCACTCATGCAGGTTTTCTTTTTTCTTTTTTTTGCCACAGTTTGTAGTAGGCTTCTTCAGTTTCCTTATCCTACTGTGTTGCGAGGGAGCCACTGCAGCTTTCCGTGCTTCATTGGTTCCAATCCATGCCACGTTTGGCATAACTACATTCATGCTTGCTGTTGCTACCTGTCTTACAGGGCTCACAGAGAAAGCCTTCTTCGAACTGGGGTATGTAATAACATTTACGCTTGCTTCTAATGTTTGGTACTAGAGATTTCTAGTCAAGAATTTCAGTTTACATTAGCAGAATTTTTGTGGTCAGTTACGTGACATGCAGTTTGGAAATGGCTTACAGTAAGTGAGACTTGAGTTTCTCACAGAGATGAAGATATCAGTGTTTTCTTCTGGGTTATGCTGTGTGAACATGTAGGTAGATATCAACATCTCATACAAATATACCGTCTCCATCTTCAGCCCTGAAGACCGACATTGATGTGGCTAATAGTAACTGCAATATTTAGAAGACTACCATGCTGTGTTTTTTACAGTCCCAAACATTTCTTTTAAATTTTTTCTCTTCTAATTCTTCATAATTATTTTTCTCTTACATTTTAAAAATGTTTATAACTCAGAGATATTTGAAGTTTTAATGGCATGGTAGTATTATAAAATTTAATTCAGTACCATAAAACCAACTATGCACCATATTCATCAGATTATGAAGTATGCAGTATACGTGCTCGTACATTATATCACTTAAATAACGTATTGAAGTCAGTGTAGCAGCACTTTGTTTGGCTGGTTAGATTTCATGTTCTGGTTCCACAACAAACAGGGTATGGGATGCATGTTACAGAAAAGTTAATTGTATTTGTGTTGTTATTGCTTTCACTTACAGAAAAAAATATAGCCTTTTGGAAGAAGAAGCATTGATATTGAATGCTCTTGCCATGGTCCTTACTGCAGGTGCCATTGTAGTGGCATATATTATTATGAAAGATGACTTCAAATACCGAGGACATATTTTGATCACAGCCCAAGGAGATTAATTTTGACCTGTAACTGGTGTGAACAGTTGTTGACATGTCGGAATAATGTTGTATTGGAGTAATTGTACAAGTTTATTTTAGACATTTATTAAAAATGGATGGAAATTTCTTTTTGTAATCAGTGTTATTCTGACTAAAAATAAAGAATAAATATTATATTTACAGTTGTTACTTCTACATGTTATTTTTGTTGTAAAAATATGTTTTATTCCACAGCTTATTTTAGAGGTCTATGATTTGTGCCTGAAGCTGGAATTTTAAAAATGGACTGTTCATTTGGCACATTTAGTAATTCCTCATGAACAGATTTTGTTTTTAAAGACTAATTTTGGCTTGTTCACTCATTTTAAAATAAAACAATAAATATAACGTATTTTATGAAATTGTAGTAATAAATGTGAACAGGTTTATGCTAACTTATGCAGTAAAATGAAAATTATTATATGTATAATCTGATTGTTGGTATAATGTGAAAGCTCCATAGTTTTGCAGAATCATCGACCAGACTACACAGCGCAATAACCCAGAAGACGGATATCTTCAATCTATAAGTTGTTATTAAAATTAATTCAGTATTGTTCTGCTATCTGTTTTGGTATTGGTCATGTAACAAACAAGACTTTTACACTTGGATATAAATTACAGTACGAATATTTATTTTTAATTCAATATAAAATTTGAACAGAATGAAATTGTACAAGACCAACATTGCGTGATAATATTAGCAGTGGATCTGGTGTTTATACACATGTATTAAGGGACTTCTTTCTGCAGTATGATACAATCATAATTTGGTTGAAGGATATTTAATAGCTTTGTAAAAGACTAACATTAATATCAGTATTTTGCTTTGCACTGAAGTATGATATAAACATGGCGACATGTACTGCTGATGCACTGCTGTATTTTTAATGCTTCTTATATGTTGCATATTTGATGCATATAAAGCTTTGGTTTTAGTATGTCTGTCACTTTAATTAACAGCACTTTAGTTCATGTTAGTTTATAAAACTTCACAGTTTTCATAAAATAAAATGCAGTTTCTGAATTGCATCAGTCAAAAATTAAAGTAAGAATCTAGATGCTTTAATTTCTTATTTTGTGTTTTATATCATTGGGTAGGTTGATAAAGAAACTTAACGTCTATGAAATAATTTCGTTGTAATGCTAATTTTTCAGAAAGTTTGATAAATTTTAAATCTTCTAACATTTGAATCACACCCACATTATTAATTTATTTATTAATTGAGATGTGCAAATTGAGAACTTGTAAAAATGTAATATTGTAATGTATTTATTTGGCTTCATTAATTTACTTTAAGGGCCATATCTTCTAAAGACTTCAAGAATTATGAATCATAATATGTGAGAAAATAAATATATCAAGTACATTTTAATTTAAATTCTATAAAATATTAGTTTATCAAATGTATAATTTTTTTAAAATTAAAATTCATTGTAGGTACTGTAGTTTAACTATTTGCATATCTGTAATTAATTATTTTATCACCAAAAGCTTTTGTTAGCTCTTTTCATTCATGTGTCATTAATGATTAGTAACAATGGCAACAGCAGAACCGATTATTTCTGTCTACTGAGCAGATAATTTTAGCTGTGTTCAAAGTTCTAACATTCAAAATTTTTGATTGATGATTGGAAAGGGACATTTGAAATGAAAAGTAATGTAACACATTAGCTATTACAGTTATAGTTCTATAGTTTGCACAAAATTTGAAACACATTCTAGTTTTATTCAACTTTACTTGCTTCAGCACTTACTAACTGAACATAATGCAATATCCTGCAGCCAGTAGTGTGTCTAAATATGTTTAAGTCCTGTTTGTTGTTGCAATGAACTCTCTTTTTAGAAGCATGTTCTCCTTAGTTCCCAAGTAAAGTGACACATAACCCTACTAATTGCTTGTTTGCCCATTTTTCTCTTCTTGTGTGTTTTCAGCAATAAATACTCATCCATGCCAGAGGAAGGGATAGTGATGAATGCTCTGGCTATGGTGTTGGTAGCTTTGGGAATCCTTCTATCCTATGCGGTGCGGAGGGAATCTTTCCGCTCCGAGGTTAAAACCTTCATCACAGAGAGACTGTAGAGAACACCCCTGCCTGCCTGCATCATTCTGCTCTGTAATGGGGGAACAGTGCACTAACTCAATTTATGACTTGCCAATGAAGCAAATTATTTTCAAGCTTTACTTTAATGCTTAACCACGAAATGTCATCATGACAAAATAGCTTTGTTTTGTGAAGCTACTGTAAGTTTAAAGACTCATATGGGAACAAAAATGTACATTTAAAACTGATTGTATCTTTTGTGTGCATGTTAATTAAATACATGTTGGTTGTATTCCATATTTGCAAAATGATGCAAATGTACAATGCTGTTGGACCAAGTGAAGACTTTCCCCCTAGATAATGAAAACAGTTTTCATTATACTGAATATGTGTTCTGTGTGTTTTATAAATCCCTCTATGTAAAACTATACAGCTCTTCAACCAGTGTTCGAGTCACAGAAAAAGGTATGAGAGACCTAGGTGGAGAGAAACAGAGAGACGAAGAGGAACGAATGATTTCTGGCAGACAAACACAACTTCTTATTGAGTTATATCAAATAGACTCTCTTAGGTAGATTTTGTGTGCTCAATGAAACTGCAGTTTGTGACCTGTTGAAATCTGTACAAAACAAATCACTGAATATCTTCACATTGCCAACTTTCTTTGCTCAAATATATATCTTACTTCCAAAATTCTTTAGGATTTTGACTCGTTCACTGGCTTGTTATAGCCAAAGTGATGCTACGTGCTAGAAATCCTAAAAGGTTTATTTGTCATTATTAGATTTGTTGTGTGTATGTATACACACATACACACATCCATACGTACAGACATATGGTTGTGGGTATTAAAATCAGTCTACTGTTGTAGATATTTCCACTTCTTTATGGCCAATATATATAGCATACATTTCATTTGTCTATTATCTGTAAGTGAGTCTTTGTGTGTGTGTGTTTTCCTTGGAGTGACTAAACATGCTCTTTGACATGACTGAAGAAAGGATATGTGAATTAGTGTTAACAGTGTCTCTATAAACAATACTCTAAAAGAAATGTAGATGGTTAATTAATAAGCTTTATGGTAAAAAAGGTTTAAAAGATTTCTATATAAAAAGGGGGAAGTAGGGGGGGGGGGAATAAAGAATATCTGTTACCTAAAGTAAAAAGAATTTACAAATGTTGCTTTGTTATTGTAGGA